TGAGCAATAATATAATATTAAATGATTGTCGTACAATATTATATAATATTTATTATTTTTTTCATCATTTCGATTTATAAAATATGAGACAAATTTAATAATTAATATTATGAAAGTTGGATTACCCTTATCATTATTAATTCATCATTAAAAAAAAAAAATCGACAAGCATGAAACATTTATATGCATGCATACCTATATGTATATGTATATGTATATATATTCTGTGTTCTTCGCAAAAAAATTAAAAAAAAAAAAAAAAAGGAATAAAAACTATTTGCTTCTGATAAAGGAATAAGCCGAATACATTATTATTATTATTATTATTTTTTGACAGAAGAAATAAATAATTGAGCTTAAAAAATCACCTCCATTGTAAGCTGGCTAATTAGTTAAGTGAAATCACATGGACAAAAGACGAGCCACGTTATGGCCGACATCATAATCCTTGCATGGCCCATGAAGATTCTAGCATTTATGTTACACTCCATTAAAATCTATATATTTTATTTTTATTTACGTGCCCATTTATCTATTTTTATTTTCAAAATCACCCATATTCTCTAAAAAATTTAAATAACCTAATTTTTTTTTTTTTTTTTTAAAAATAAAATGGGTAAATTTATCTTAACAAAGTTAATTACTTATCAAATTGTAATTAATTAATCAACATCGAATTAGAATTCATGTGTAGCTTGGTTTTATAGTGGAAGAGAAGAGAATATTGGTTCGTTCATTGAATGCGTAAACGGTGCGTTTTGATGGAAATCTCTGATAATGACTAACGGGAAAACCTAGACCGTCCGTTTTTTATTTTTTTATTTTTTTCTGAATAAATCGGAACCACCTAATTTTGGTTCCAAGGCTCGTGGCCATCCGATGGTTTGGAATATTAAGGGGTCGCGTCATCGTGTAAAATACTTTAAAAAGAGTGGTGCGGTATTTTGGTTATTACTTTCCTTTTTCTTTTCTCTAAAGTCAAACATATAAATTAGGATTAGAAAGATTGTTGTAGTGAAAACTGACTTCTTTCAAAGTATGAATATATATATATATATATATAGGATTCTACATGCTTATATATTTATTTTAATAAAATAAGAAATTAATTAAAATTTTTAACATGTTATAATTATTACATTAAAAAATTAGATAATTTTGATAGAATTAGTGAATACTCTTGTCTGTTTCGCATATATTATTATTATTATTATTATTACTTTTTATTAAATAAAAAGCAGAGTGACAAGACTTCAGCATCATCATCTTGTCTTTAATTGTTTTTTTCACACAATGGAGGGGTTATCCATTAATTCAATTTCTTTATGGATATGCTAAAAATTTCAAATTAATGTTTAAATTTGTTTGTTTTAATATTTAGTCTCAAATAAAATTAGGAAAATACCCAATTCAAAAATTTAAAAACTTTTCCCATGATGATTCCTTGGGTTTGGGCTTTTTGGTTGTTCTTCTCACTTTTAGATTCTTTTATATATTTTAGGAGGGATTGGGACTTTTACTTACATTTTGCTTTGACCTCCTTTTTCGTTTTGAATTTTTTTTTTTTTTTTGTGGGCACCATGAGTTGGGCCGAGCCCATTACCCCACAACAGACAGGCCTGTGAGAAAAAAAAAAATAAATTATTGATTTGTAGGTTGAAGTTTAGAGTTCTATTATTCTGGGCTAAGATTTTATTTTATTTTATTATTTTAAATTTTTTAGTCCCAATTTAGTATTGAATGATTTACCTCCATTCAACTACTTTACCCAAGTGAAATTCCTTAATTGAAAATTTTAAATCTTTAGTACTTTAACAGATAATTTTTAAATTGTGGGTATGATTCTATTTTATGGAAATTACTAATTTATTTAATAAATAATTTCAATGTTTTTAAGGAAGACACATGCTGAAAAATGAACAGATATTATGTAGGTTGATGTCATTAGTAATACGGTGGTACGCAATAATTGATTTATAAAATTGTACTCTTTGTTTTTAATAATTTATTTTCAATTATCCTAAAAGAACATTTTTTTGGAAGTTCACTTAAATATGGTGAAACGAGTGATTAAGAAATTAATTACTAAGAAAATTATGTATTATCTTTTACAACGATTTACTAAATTTAGACGGTAAAAATCTTTTATCTTTTATAACGTACTGGAGATAGTAAGTACAAAATCTGTCAAAGGTGGGGGCGGTTGGGATATTGAGATCAATATAAAAATTATAATTATAACAAAAATAATTAAAATTACGATAATTAGGATACGTTTTAACTAAAAGTAATATTAATAAACAACAAATTTGAACTAACTTCCTATTTTATGGGTTCTTTAAAAGAAAATGCAGTGTATTTTTAATTTTATACAAAAGATTTAGAAACAATTATTTAAGAAAAAAAATAAAAAGAGATGGGAATGAATCGAAAAAAAATATTAATATAATAAATAGTGCAAATTGACATGTTATAAATGGCTGGTTGCCTTTTCAAATCACAGTATATATCTGGAAAGGTCACGGTAACGGTAACGGAGAAGAAACGAAATGAACCTCAGACGATATTGTTGACGCACACGTGGACGACGGAATTACTGATACCACAAACAAAACGTGGAAGTTTACATGTAAAACGACATCACCAACAACAGTGACGTTATATAATACGACAAGGACTTCTCCTACGTACTCAGTTCATCCTAACTTTGCGCGCTCTTCGCTCCTCTGAAGAAATACTGTATTTAGTCCATTATTATTTATATTATTTTTATATAAAATATAAAAGATAGACGAAGCAGTCCATAATCTATAGGTAGTTAGGATAAAGCCCGTTACGTACCAATTCTCTCATTCGTAACGGACTCTGCTCATACCAGAAGTTCCTAATTTTGAAATCCCTTCCTTTTCTTCTTATTTGTTAGTATATTAATCTGTCAGATACCACAAGGATAAGCGCATTGCTCTCAGATTGTGTACACAAGTTGATAGAAGAGCAAGCTTTGAATTGAGTGGAGGAGCGAATCGAAGAGAAGCGGTGAACCGAAGAGGTATCGAACATTGATCGGAAGAGGAGAGCTGACAATGGCGGAATCTAATGCGTCGAAGAAGTCTCTGGTCTTTGCTTACTACGTTACTGGCCATGGATTTGGTCACGCCACTCGTGTTGTTGAGGTAACTGATATTCAAGCCTATCTTATTTTTCGAGAAATCACGTTGATTACGATTCTCAACGTAAATTACCCCGGACTTTTTTCTTTTTGAAGCTCACATGTTTTCTCTCCTGCTCGGTAATTGTGTCTCTGTTGTCTGTCTTTTTTTTTTTTTTTTTGAAAGTTATTTTTGAAATGTTTTAGCAAGCGGCATTTGAGAGATAAACAGCCATATGTACATTATCATCGTCGCAGACTATTGGATTTTTTGTTTCTGCATGAATTCGTTTTTGTAATATATGGATATGCAATTGGACCTCTATTCAATTATTAATTTGTTAAAAATCTGATTGTGAAATATTTCTGGTTGATTTATTTATATCACAGTTACTTCTTGTATGATATATAAGTTAATATGTTTAAAATATGATGATTTTCTGTGTTCGGTTTATTTGTTATAGAAACTAAATTATGATGATCAACGTCAAACTA